ATAAGGAGTTCTAAAAATATGTAGCATATAACTTATAAGGTTTCAAAAAATAAGTAGCAGCCAAACATGCTCTTAGAGATATAAGCCTTGAAAGGAGAAGAAAGTAAAGTTTGGTCAAGAGAGTAGACAAACAAAAAGAGCTAAATGGCACTTAACTACCATAAAGTTTTCCTATTGTGGCACTTAAATACCACAAGTTGTAAAATGTAGCAGAAAAATACCATGAGTTGTCCGTTGTTGAAAAATAGTTAACACTGTGACTTTTTGACCCGCTGACCAAAATACCCCTCCCTTAATAAAAACCCTCAACTGTTAAACCCTCCCTCATAATCTAACACTAGTTAATATCAAATGCACATAATTTGTTCAACATTTTAGGAAAGAAAAAACCAATGCATGCTTACAATTCATGCCACTAACATGATTTTCTTCTCTTCACATCTTCAAACGAGCCTCAGATTTGAAATTTCTCTCTATTCCTCATAACCTATGTGTACCCCATGCAAAATATGTCCCCCTATTTTTGTAAGCATTGCATTTTGAAGTTGCCTCCCTCTAAGGTTTAATACATTTGATTTGATTTGATTATTGTATACTTAAAATTAGAATTTATATCTACTGCTCTATACCGAAAGGGTATTCTTCATGATATTGTAAAATACTATACTATGAACAGTAAATTTACTCTTCTATACGTAAAGGAGGACCCCAAAAGATATTGTTTATGCTATAGTATTTACTATAGTATTAAACCCTCCCTCATAATCTAACACCAGTTAATATCAAATGCACATAATTTGTTCAACATTTTAGGAAAGAAAAAACCAATGCATGCTTACAATTCATGCCACTAACATGATTTTCTTCTCTTCACATCTTCAAACGAGCCTCAGATTTGAAATTTCTCTCTATTCCTCATAACCGGTGTGTACCCCATGCAAAGCATGTCCCCCTTTTTTTGTAAGCATTGCATTTTGATGTTGCCTCCCTCTAAGGTTTAATACATTTGATTTGATTTGATTATTGTATACTTAAAATTAGAATTTATATCTACTGCTCTATACCGAAAGGGTATTCTTCATGATATTGTAAAATACTATACTATGAACAGTAAATTTACTCTTCTATACGTAAAGGAGGACCCCAAAAGATATTGTTTATGCTATAGTATTTACTATAGTATTAAACCCTCCCTCATAATCTAACACCAGTTAATATCAAATGCACATAATTTGTTCAACATTTTAGGAAAGAAAAAACCAATGCATGCTTACAATTCATGCCACTGTCATGATTTTCTTCTCTTCACATCTTCAAATGAGCCTCGGATTTGAAATTTCTCTCTATTCCTCATAACCTATGTGTACCCCATGCAAAATATGTCCCCCTATTTTTGTAAGCATTGCATTTTGAAGTTGCCTCCCTCTAAGGTTTAATACATTTGATTTGATTATTGTATACTTAAAATTAGAATTTATATCTACTACTCTCTACCGAAAGGGTATTCCTTATGATACTGTAAAATACTATACTATGAACAGTAAATTTACTCCTCTATACGTAAAGGAGGACCCCAAAAGATATTGTTTATGCTATAGTATTTACTATAGTATTAAAGGAGGACCCGAAAAGATTTATTGTTCATGTTATAGTATTTATGGTGGTATTTATTATAGCGTGAATAATATATCTTTGGATCCTCCTTTAGGTGTGGAGGAGCGGGGATGCTTTCATTATCAAGTAATTTCTTCTCTCGCCTTTAATTTCATCTTCTGTTCTCTCAATTTCTCTTCCAAATCATAGGCTGAAATAGTATTTGAAATCCTAGAGCATGATTTTTATGTTCTTACCATGAATTAGAAAGATGAGAGAGCAAAAGCGATTTTAAGATCTGAAATTTAATGGGAGAGAGTATTTCAGAAGAGGGGGGAAGGTAGGTGTAGTAAATAAAGCTATAAATAAGGGTAATATTTATTTAAAAGTGTTACATGAGAGACACATGGGAATATTCCAAAGAATATTCTCATGGGAATATTCCAAAGAATATTCTCATGTGTAACTAACAGATGATAACAATTTGCCAACTTTATGTAACTCGTGATATTTTTCTGTTACTTTTTATAACTTGTGGTATTTAAGTGACGCGGTAAAGATTCTTTATGGTATTTAAGTGTTATTTAGCCAACAACAAGTTCACATTTCCATAATTAATCATAAAAATAAAACTTAATCCTTGACCATTTACATGATGATTTTTTCGGGGGACAAGAGCAAAAAAATTGTTTGATGGTCTCTAGGGTGATTTTTCGATTTATTAATCATATTAACTTAAAAACTTATCTGTATTTCTGTTATCTTCTCTAAACTTTAGTGCCTAGGTTGTCAAATGGGAGGTTTTGGATGGTTTTTGGATGGGTCATAAATGGGTGGACACACTTATGCCCATTTGTCTATTTATAACACATTTAATATTTGCTAATGGGTCACTTTTTATCCACCAATTTATTAGATGGGTGGTTTATTGGTGACCAAATAACTCATTTACATATGGTGCTTTTATATTTATACATATATAAATTCTAGGGATCTATTTAAAAATGTGTGGGCATAAAATCTAGAAATTAACAGTAGCCCCTTAAAAATTTGAGGCTTGCAAAAAACACCCCCAAAATTTAAAAATTACAAAAAACACCCTCTGGAGTTCAAAATTACAAAAAACTCTTATAATTTCTAAACATACAAATGACAGATGTAATCTAGAAATTTTTAGCAACCCCCTATAAATTTAAAATTTGTAAGAAAACACCCTCAAAGTTTTAAAAATTGTGAAAAACACCCTCAAGGGTTTAAAATTACATAAACCACCTTGAAATTTTAAAACCTACAAATGACGTATGAAATCTAAAAATTTCTAGTAGCCCCATAAATTTAGAATTTTCAAAAATACCCTTAAAGTTTTAAAAATTAAAAAAATCACTTAAAATTTTAAAAATTGCATGAAACAACAAAAGATTTCAAAACATGTAGAAAAACACATTACAAATCTAGAAACTACTAGCATCTTTTGCAGGTTGAGTTCCATAACTTTCAAAGTTAGGGGTGTTTTTTGTAATTTTTTAAAATTTAATGGTGTTTTTTATAATTTTCAAATTTTTAGTGCACTACTAAAATTTTTTAGATTTTATGTGTCATTTATAAGCTTAGAAAATTTAGATGATTTTCTTAATTTTAGACTCTTGAGGGTATTTTTTGTAATTTTTAAAATTTTGACGATATTTTTATAATTCAAAATTTACATGGGTAGTTGAAAATTTCTAGATTTCATGTGTCATTTGTCAGTTTTGAAATTTTAGGGTGGTTTTTGTAAATTTAAACTCCTGAGGGTGTTTTTCGTAACTTTTAAAACTTTAAGGGTGTTTTTTGTAAATTTTAAATTTATAGGGGGTTGCTAAAAAATTTTAGATTACATGTGTCATTTGTGTATTTAGAAATTTTGAGAGTTTTTTTAGTTTTAAACTCTTGAGGGTGCTTTTTGTTATTATTAAAACTTTGAGGAAATTCTTACAAATCTCAATTTTTTAAGGGGCTGATGTTAATTTTTAGATTTCATGTATCATTTTACATCGTGAAATTTTATGGTGTTTTCACTAATTTTAAACACTTGAGGGTGTTTTTTGTGTTTTATAAAACTTTAAGGGTGTTATTTGTAAATTTTAAATGTATTAGAGGCTGCTAGAAATTTCCAGATTTTATGTGTATTTGTAAGTTTATGAATTTCTCGGTGTTCTTTGTAATTGTGAATTCTAAGGGTATTTTTTGCAATTTTTTAAACTTTGAGGTTTTTTTTGTAAATCTCTAATTTGTAAGGGGCTATTGTAAAATTTTAGATTTTATGTATGTTCTTTATTAGTTTAGTTTTAGAGTGTTTATATAATTCTAAAATTTTAAAAGTATTTTTTTAGCAATTATTGAAACTTTGAAAGTGTTTTTGAAAGAATGTACATCTAAATGGGTCAATAGGTGAGTAATAGCGTGCTTATTTATGACCTATTTATATTTAATAGAAGTAATATTCACCTATTAATAATCCATTTAAGCAATATTCACCTATTTATGACCGGTTTACTTAAATGAGTGGGTTTGGATGGGTCATTTAGTGAGTATTTATGAGTGGGCAAATAAATTTGAGTCAAATTTATCATCCTTATAATTGTGGGATACCATGGCAAAAGAGATTTCTGAAACTACCTAATAATTGATTAAGAGTGTTGGATACGAATCTTTTTCATTCTAGCAGTAGAAAAAGATAGGAATAATACCGCACGTCTTAAATCTTTTAAAATCTAGGAAAAATTGTGTTAATGCCCAAAATATAAGATGTCGATGTGGTCGAGCCGCTTCTATTTTGGCCCATGTGCAAGAGCCCTAAAAAATCCCCTTCAGCTGAAGCCCTACCCGTATTTTGATCTAAAACCCAAAACTACCCCCTTCTCCCCAAAATAAATGTGACCCAAAGTTTTTTCCTAATTCGTACTTTTAAATGGAGTATGATGAAATATGATATGATTTAGGTAAATAGGTGGGTTTAGATGTGTTATTTTTGTGGGCGGTTGTGAGTGGGCATGAATTTGGGTCAAATTTGACATCCCTAATTATTTGTAGACTACATGACAAAGGAGATTCCTGAACTACCTAATAACTGATTAAGAGCTTTTTGGATATGAATCTTTCTCATTCTAGAAGTTAAAAAAGAAGATAGGAATAATACCACATATCTTAATCTTTTAAATCTTATTATTTTCATTAGAGATAGGAAAAGCAAATTATAGATATTTCGGAAAAAAATATTGGTAATATTTTGTTACGAATTATGTTATCGGATAAGACAGAGCAAGTCAAAACAAAATCTATTATGAGATCTTAGTCGTGACAAAAGCATATATTTTGCATGTTATTACCTCACCTCACTTCAATAATTCTTAATTGCGCCTAAAATCTTTGAAATTGCTCATAAATCCCCCAAATCTTAGAAGGCTCTTACAAATTGATTTCTCAATAACATAAGTTTGGTCATTGAGGGCATGAGCAATTCTAAAGATTTTAGAGACTGACAAGTAATTATTGAAGATTGTGGGACTAATATCTAAAAAACCCTATATGCAACCATCAGCTCCTCTTCCTCCCTCCCTCTCTCCCCCCACTCATTCTCTCTCCCTCCCTCTCTCTCGCTCATTCTTGCGAACGCTAGGGTTTTTCTTCAAAAGATATTCCCTTGATTTTTTCACCACATTGACTCTGTCACTTAAATCAAGACCATCGATTGTGTTGAAATCTCGAGGAAAGCCATGGATTCCGACAAGGGCCGGGTGCTAACTTGCAATCTAAGTAAGCTTTTTTCCTTTTTTTATTCTCTTTTGGAATGATAATATAATTTTATTTTTCAATGTGATTTTGCATGAATTAATGTTGCAATGTTTGTTTCTTGAAACTGTTCTTGAATTGCATTGTAATGGTGTAATTGATGTGTTATGTTCAATGAAACTCGCGGTTTTTCGGCATTCAGCAGTTTTATTGTTAAGCAAAGTAAATGATTAGAGAATGTCAATGGAAGGGGGGAAAAACTCGGAGGTTCAACCTCTTTCATCTCTAAAGTTCAACCCTCCACTTTTCCTCGATTCTTGCAATCACTAGGGTTTTTATCAAAACGGGTTTCCTCCATTTCTTCTCTGTATGAACTGATTCACCTTGATCATGGGATGAATGTTTGATCCATTGTGTTGAAATGTTGAGGGGAGCAATGGATTATGCTAGGAACCTAGCGCGAATTTTGCAATCTAAGTGAGTTTTTTATTATTTTATTGTGATTTGGATCAGTTAGCAATGCAATGGTTGTTTTCTTTTGGAATCTTTCTTGAATGACACCTTAATCGTGGTTTATTGATATCCATTTTGATCCGCATATGCTTTCTTTTGAGCATTACAGAGGTTTATATCACTAGTTTTCAAATTCAAGATGTGTCATATTCCTTCACTATTTATTAAAATGCCAATTTATTATAAATTATTCAAGTTTCGACAAAGAAGAAATTAACCTTCACTAGTTATTCAAGAAAATCATGCTAAACATTACAAATTACCTTCACTGAGTATTTTAATTTTGTAGTAACTTTTGGTATTTTAAGCCAACAAATCACAATTATCATTAACTCTAATCGGAAGCCCCCCGACGCTGATACAAAAATGTTTTAGCCAGAAATATCTGCTGGCACCATTATTTCAGTTATTGGTGGAAGACCTTAGATGTATGCACGATTTGTAGTCTGCAAATAAAGTCCTCAATATGAGGGGAAAACAGAACAGACTTGTTGGGTTAAATTCATTAAACAAACTAAAACTAGAATCCAACTTGTAGCAGTCTTGTCAGTTTCATCTCTTCTGCTAGTTCCTAGTGATTCTTGGAAGCAAAGATACCTTTTTAACATTTTTATTCTATGAATTGAAATTGTCAGTGACACATAAATGATATAAATGTCGGTTATATTATTATGCCATTGGCATACCCTTTTGAGTTTGATTCAGTGAGGGATCCACCTTAGAGCAAGTGGGGTCACGTGACCCCACTTTCCTCCAAGGTGGACAGCCGCCTTTGCTTTAAGTTGGGTACAACTTAAATGTTGAGCATTTGTACTTTAAACATTTTATTGTCCAACAATTTCATTTCCATTCAAATCAATACTTTGTTTGGATTTCTACATCACTCGGATTTCTACATCACTCACAACTCCCACCCTCCAACTTTAGTTATCATAAGGATGGTCTTAATTAAGTCTCATTTGATCTTAAACAGCAACACATTATACTCCTTTTAGTGCTTAATCTGGATTAAAGTTTGAGATCCACCCAAAGGATGATCGGTAATGTTACTAATGGTGCTGTTATTGATAGTACTAATCAAAGAGATGATTGGCTTAATGGTTAGTTAGTGAAATATGTTAAGGGTGTATTTAATTGATAGTGTTATTAATGTGTGATTATGTACTTTTTTCAAAATATGAAGACTTATTGAGGATAGTTTTGAAGTTTTTTAGTCGATAATTATGTGGTTACACCACTCTCTATAAATCTTGAATCCCCCACTGCTCAGAGTTTGCTTTTTTTGCTGTAAAAGTTCTCGGAAGTACCTGCTATAGCCACTGCTGCTGAGGAGATAGTGCAAGTAACATATACCGGACCATGTGTTCACTTAAGTTATTTTTTGCTTTCATTTCTGTCTCTGCAATGGGTATACGATGTGAGTATATAATTCAAGCAAACTTTTTAGTCTTTAAACAATACATGTGTTTTGGCAGGCAATGTATACTTTGTTACAGAGGCAAGATCTCGATGGCTTCGCTCTAGTGAGATTTGTGAAATTCTTCGCAACCATAAAAGGTTTAACTTGACTGTGGATCCACCGCATAAACCTCCTGGTAACTCTGACATGACTACTGTATGATGCCTAAACATGCTACTTGATCTGCTTTCTCATGTTATTGGTTATGTTTAAACTTCACAACAAAGCTGGACCATAGCTTGCACTAGCTAGAGCCTTGAGATATTTATTCTCTTAGTTCCATCCTTCTGCAGTTCTGCTTAATAAAATTTGATTAGTTGATTTTCAAGACCTCCATTTATGTTTTTTTCTCATTCTTTTCCTTTCCCACATATCATTAGATGTTCGAATCGAGAAACATTTTGCATTCTCAAGTAAGGACTATGTTTCTTAAATTCTGCAAGAACTTGCTTTTAATATTGATTGCACCGAGACTAACATAACTAAGTCTTCTATGTGTATGTTCTTCACCTCTCATGATACATGAAAGCTCTTTTTCTAATGGTCCTACTTGACAATGTTGACATGCATCTAATTGCAGTTTCATGTGGTTGCATTAACTGTTTTTAACTTCTAGGGGGTTCGTTCTTCTTATTTAACAAGAATGAAGTCAGAAATTTCCGTAAAGATGGCCATTGTTGGAGAAAAAAGAAAGACGGAATAACAGTTCGAGAAGCTCATGAAAAATTAAAGGTATTCTCTCTAGTTGTATACAGAATTTATTCAGTATTCAGGTCTTGCAGTTGGACATCTTGCTTCATTTTGATCTGATTTTTTTAGATTATATTGATTAATTTTGTTGGAAGTAATGACTTTTATTGGGATTTTGAAGTATAGTATGATAAAATGTCTGTCATCATTTGGTGTTTATTTGGAGTTAGGAAAGTTAGTACATTTTAGGTTGACTGTTATGAGCCCTCTTTATAGACATATGCTTATATCCTGTTGCAACCCCAAATTCGGGTAAGCTCTGGTCTTATTCTTAATCAGAACCAATGTTTCGTAGAAACCATAAAAAGCATCATATGCAATCATGCTTAGACAAGAGTAGGACTAGGATTGACCTCCTGGAAATCCCTGCTTCAGGAAGTTTCCACTTTCTACACTGTTCAAATATGTGTCATTTTTGTCAGGATTGACCTCCTGGAAATCCCTGCTTCAGGAAGTTGCCACTTTCTACACTGTTCAAATATGTGGCGTTTTTTTTTTTGTTGGGGGTGGGGGTGGGGGCTCAAAATTCATCTGTGGGCAAAAGTGTTCATCTAAACAGGGTTGCATGACAATAACTGAAAGTAAAGCGTTTGGAATACTTACCATATAATCGATGTGATAAAAGAAAGAGATCACAAAGTGATGATTTCTTTGAAATATTTCATTGATGTTCATTTACGAGTTATTAGTTTTATTGAAAACTTGATATTGTTTAGATGTTTATATACTTATAAACTGATATTACTAGGTTTTCAAATTTTTACAAAGTTTATCATATTTTTTCTGTTTTTTCATGTATTGGGGGATAATTTTTGCATCAAAGATCAAACATGCATAGGCATGCACACGCACATGCTCTCACACACACATGCGCACACATGCACACTCCCACACGCACGAGCAGAGAGAGAGAGAGGGGGTATGGGTTGGCAGCTCATTTTACAAAAATAAGCTACCAAGAGACTGGTTTGTGGTGAGACCTATCCTTTTAGTCACATCAGAGCATGTGAACCTCATGGATGCTACGTCTTGGTAGCTCATTTTGCTACATGAAGTGGTGGCTCATTGTTAGCAGCACACAAGAAACATGATCTCACCTCTGTATCATCTCTATTTTCCTCTCTTTTGGATACAGAAAACAATAGGCGGCTAAAGATATATTTATTGCATAGATTTTCTGTCTATAGGCCTACAAATACAAAAACACTCAACCTTATACACTGTAAATACAATTTTATTTGGTTTGCATTTCTCCTGAAGACCCTACCAAGGACAGCTGCCGCCGCCTCCGCTGTCCGCGTGCAATGTTTAAACGCATCCAGTTTCCGATCCTGATGATATTTATTCTCTATGGACCATGTAAATCAGACTCTGCAAACAACATTATCCCAATATTTATGTATATGTCCATATCCACATGATACTATTATGCGGCATATAATCTATACATTATGTGTTGCCCGTGCACACACATAATGGCACATAATGTATACATATTTATAAGATTACTAGTTTATGGAAAATCCTAAGTAGTTAAATTAGCTGATAATGGTAAGTTTTGTTTAGTTTTTATTTTAAAATAAAATTGAAGTTAGATGATTCGAAATTGCTTTATATAGCTTCTTTACATTGGTAATCAATATGTGTACCTATTCTCATGCGTTTCTTTCCCCCTTTCAGATAGGCAAAGAACTTGTTCTTGATTGCTACTATGCCCATGGCGAGGACAACAAGAATTTCCGGAGACGAATTTATTGGTTACATGATGAGTGAGTCTTTGTCTTTCGCTTTGAATTTTGCATTATCTTGCTTATTAAGTATGAGGGCTAAGCATTATCTTCCTTTGGTTAGTACAGACTTAGAGCTTTAGATAAGCAGTAAGAACCCTAAAAGAAATAAAGTTTCATAAGACCTGGGTTGAAGTGGAAGGTCTGTATTGAATAAACAAAATAATATGTGTATAATTTCCATTACTTCTCTAAAACGAAGCACTCAGTTTGTTTTACATTATTGCAGATGCTACTAATTTCTTACTTAGGTTGTGTGGTTCCAACGGATTATAAGCTCAAGCTGTTCATGCTTGAAAAGAATTCTATTTGTTGAGTACAATATATTTTGATTACATGTTTCTATAAGCTCTCTTTCTGCTTTAGTAAACTTAACCGGAAATTAGCATCTGAAAGACTTATTTCTCACTTAATTGACTTTAATAGTACGGAGTGGTGAAGCAGAGTTTGCTGGCCTTTTAGCATTCAGGATACACTTCAGTCCTTATTGATTAAGGTTTATGTTTCTAGGTGGTCTTCGATGATTGGATTTTCACACTCTCCACTTATCTTACTTTTTTGCTTCCAGGAAATTGGAGAACATTGTCCTTGTTCATTACAGGGATCTGAGTGAGGTGATCATCTGCCAATTTTCCTATTGTATAAATAAATATATAAATAAATATATGGTATTTTCCTTCTAAGCTTTAAGGAAATAAAATTTTAACTCTTTGTGGTTTCTTGATTAATATCTATCTAGTGATGCATTCAGAAGATAAGATAATATCATAGTATATATTTCATTTGGTCATGGTGATTGGGTTAAATCCCATTGACTTGGGCATAAATATGGTTTGGCACACCACCACCATCTGTTTTCTTCTCAGCTACACATAGGCTTCAGGCAAGGACTTTCACAAGAATTGCTTTTGTCTGACTGGAATTGCATTTGTCCATGCATTTGATGTCCGCCAGTGCTTATTGAAATGCACGAGGAGCTCATCACACAACCACCAACAACAAAACACAGGAAGAAATAGAAAAAAAAAGATGGAAAAAAAGAGGAAGAAAAACAGAGAAAAAGGAAAATGGAATACAATACAATAAGAGTAATAAGAGAATAAAAACACTCACACATCAGGCAGCTAAAAAAACAAAACAAAACAAATAGTTAATTTACATTCTATTGTCTCTTCGATTATGTTTCTATTATTTTCCCATTTTTATCTGAATATTTCATATTAAAATTAAAAAAAAACAGTTCCATAGGTAGATAGATCAAAGATAAGGATTAAATTTAGATCCTTCATCGACCCAAACTGTCCTTGTCCGATTACCTATAAGAAGCCTATAGTTGGCCTTGCACCATATGTAAACATAACTAATAGAAGATAAGGTCCAATTGGCAAGTTTGGGTTTTGGTTTTTCAATTGCTAAAAAGTTTTACAGATCATTTTTTTCTACCAGTAGTAAATTTAACTATTTTTTGATCTACAGTTTTAGTTCAATGCTCACGGGATGGCAAACAGTCGAGCTTAATTTTATCAATGCAAGAAGGTATATTTTTGTTAAATGAAGGTGAACACCTAAAATATTTTATCTAGCACAACGTTAAGTTATGTTTAGTGATATACTCTATTCTTGCAACTAGCCTATTGTGCCTAAACATCTTACATTGTTGCATAGTATCAGTCTTATAGCTTGTGCACACAAACTACTTGAGGATCATATGTGAAACAGTCGAGGGTTCAGAGTTGAATCTTGCAGAATTTTTCTGCAGTTTTCAAATTTGAGCAAAATATTTCTCATGTTCAGCTTTAGAGTTGAATATTTCAGTAAACATCATGCTTGAAAATCCAAAGCTTTTCATGATCATATTTTTCTTTTAATGAGTGGTTCTAACAAATATTGAAATGTTTTCTATGACTTATTCTTTGGTCTGATAGGAAAGGAAAGGCTTTATTTTTTAACGAACTAAGTAGTCTTTCAGGGAAGCAGAATCTCAGCAAATAACCGTCCAACTATCTCACAAGTTACTCAAAAAACAGTCGAACTAGGAGCTTATACTAGTTCAGTTGCTTTCTCTACACACTCGAACATTTCAAATTTCGCAAATCAAGAATCTTACCCTGCTGCCGCAGATTGGCTACTTCCATCTGTTTTCGAAAATGTAAATTCTGGAGAAGTTGGTGACTCTTTATATCTCATTCCCTTTTCTCAAATCAACAGGCCAGTGAACAGTGCTGTAGAACATGGTGTTTTAATAGATACAGAAAGCTTGAATCCTTCTTTCCATTCTTTTCCTCCAAATGAGATGACCATGCAAAATATTGAACTGAGTGAAGGTTTCAGAAATAGTAGAACAATTTTTGCTAACCAAGAATATTACCCTGCTCTTGCAGATTGTCTACAGTTTTCATCTAGTTTCGAAGTTGTAAATTCTGGAGAAGTTAGTGGTTCTTTAAATCTCGTTCTTTTTTCTCAAACCGACAGGCCAGAGAACAGTGCTGTAGAGTATGGGGTTTTAGTAGATACAGAAAGTTTGAATCCTTTTTTCCATACTTTTCCTTCAAATCAGACGACCATGCAAAATATTGATCTGAGTGAAGGTTTCAGACATAGTAGAGGAGCAAATTTTGCTAAACAAGAATATTACCCTGCTACTGCAGATTGCCTACAGTTTTCATCTGTTTTCGATGATGTAAATTCTGGAGAAGTTGGGGATTCTTTACATCTCATTCCTTTTTCTCAAACTGACAAACTAGAGAACAGTGCTGTGGAACATGATGTTTTGGTAGATACAGAAAGTTTGAATCCTTTTTTCCATTTTTTTCCCTTCAAATCAGATGACCATGCAAAATATTGATCTGAGTGAAGGTTTCAGAAATAGTAGAGCAGCAAATTTTGCTAACCAAGAATATTACCCTGCTAATGCAGATTGTCTACATTTTTCATCTATTTTCGATGATGTAAATTCTGGAGAAGTTGGTGATTCTTTACATCTCATTCCTTTTTCTCAAACCAACAGGCCAGAGAACAGTGCCGTGGAACATGGTGTTTTAGTAGATACAGAAAGCTTGAATCCTTGTTTCCATTCTTATCCTCCAAATCAGATGGCAATGCAAAATATTGATCTGAGTGAAGGTTTTAGAAATAGTAGAGGAGCATCGCAAATACCTGGTATTGACATTTTAAACTGTTCTCTGTACTTTTGCTAGCTACAATTATTTGACATCTGGGAAGAATTTCTGTTTTCAGGTTTGTCTGATGGAGCTAATATTGACACTTCTGCTGATCCGTCATCCATGTCATCTGAATTGCTTAGAACAAATCATGAAACTGGTGGCATGCATCCCACAGTTTCAGTTGAACTGACTAACATTCCTCATAGTTTAACTAATATTACAATAGACTCCCTCTTGAACATTGATGTCAAAGACAGGTTTTTTCTTCCAGACGTGTTGCCTGAGAACAATATCTGAGATTAGTGACAATATCTCCTCAGAGGTGATTACTGGTTAGTGTATCTTATGATGTGTGCGTAGTCAATGTAGGCAGTTACATTGATATCTCATCCTACTGGCTGTTTAGGTATCTTCTCTAAGTTTTTTTTTTCACACTAAATGATTTTCTTGTTTTTCAGCTTCTTACTTTATATGCTATCACGTGGGTAAATGATTTTCGCGCTAAATGGTGTTGCTAAAGTGGTGCCTTCTAATTTGTGCTATTATACATGTTAAAACATGATTGGTTTCTTTTAGATATGAGGTTCTTTTATTTGCTTCACCTCATGTCTGGAAAATATCTCCAAAATAATATTTCAGAAATTAGTTTGGTGTTCTATTTTTGTAAGTTATTTTAATGCATGTGCTATAAAACTATTACAGTATGTGTATGTGTATGCAATTGAGAATTCTGTGGTTTTATTTTGTAACGTACACAAACACACACTGGCACACATAGACACAGAGACACACGCATACATATTTCAGAGGAGTCATGTGGAGTTAGTTAGGAAAATAGTAGAGGAGAATTCTGAGGGAGATAAAGTCCATGATGTAGAATTAGTTAGGAAAATGTAACTGTCTTATGAGGAATAGAGAGGGTATCTGGTGCTAACAAGCTAAACCTGGCTGACACACATTAAAATTTATGAACATGACAAATTTAGTTTGTTTTTTTTACTTTGTGAGGTGATGATTGATGATAATAACCATATATCAAAATATGGTGGATGATGGATGATAATTATAGCACAGAACTGCAAAACATACAGTATTAATATTAATAAAAGCTCATCCTGTCAAATGATGGAATGTTCAATAAAACCTAATTCCAAATTTCCTCCAGAATTCTCATGAAACATGACTATCTTATGTCGCATAATTCAACCTACACCAGAATACATATATGGAAAAATGCACCTGTATACTGCATGATGCGGAATGGTAGCGATAATGAATAGTGTTCGGGTGAACAGTACCCCCGTGAACAATAACTTCTCACTTTTTAATTTTTTTTTACTCAATAAAAGATCAAATAAGTAAAAGACCAAATAAAGAAGGATCAAAGATAAATAGGTTAGAGCGGATTCACTGGCTGGTTTCACACACTGACACCTAATTTAAAAAAAAAACATGGCCTTATGTTTGTGGAATCACTTCAAAATCATCTCTCGAACACTCAAAATCTATTCATCAATTCTCCATTTCAAAAAAGAAACATGACAATCCTTTTTATAGCAATAAAATAAATCCAAATTCTAGCTAATAGATTTAATCAAATCCAATAGAATAACAAAATAACAAATCTAACCTAGTAACTGATCCAATCCTATCCAAATATCTAAAAATCATATCCTAAAATCCTAATTAACATAATCTTCTACATGTCCTACATCACTACAGGATACACCTTCTTTCTAATTTGAGGGAGTTTCTTTAGGTTTATTTATTCTGCACCTCTTTTACATTCACCATGTATCTTCCTATCATTGTTATATCTTATTGATTCCACTTACAACTATAGTATGGACAAGAATGGCTAGGATAAAATGATTTTGAAGGTAAGTGATACTTCGTTGCAGTTCTTTGATTGGCAAGCTACCATGTGTTGCCGAAAATCTGTTCATTGGCCATCCCTCTAGATTTATTGGGTTTTTTAGGCTTAGAAGGAATAAATAGTAAAAGAGTTGACCAATTTAATTTTTGGAATTATGTTACTTAGTTCATTATCCCATTTGGGAACCTTTTACACCTCGCTGAAGGTTTAGAACTGAAGTTTAAAGGGAAGACACCTTATTTGTGGTTATTAGACATTTACCGCTTAATAAAAAGAGGAGAAATGATCAAAATGATCTTTCTAGCTTTCACATAAAAATTAATTGAGGCTTACACCGAAATGGTCAGTGGGATTATGTAAAAAGGATGTTAAAGTGTTACTATTTTCTTCAGTTACTTTTTGAGCTTCTGAATTTAGTTAGTTTCTTCAATTCAAAGTCAAATTCTTTTTCATCAGGACCTTAGAACGTTCACTAACCTTCACTATCAGTGTTCTGTATATTATTGTGTTTCCTCTTCTCTTTCAGGCTCCATGTTTATTTTGGTTCATATTTTACAAAATATAGATAGAAACGTTGATGCTCTTCTTTCATTATAATTGAAAACGTTGGATATCCTCCTGAAGGAAATTTGATCATGGCATCACTCATGGATCAATCATGGATGTGCAGCATGAAAATTACATGTAATGTGATCAATACATGTCTATTTTTAACTGGTCCTACCTTAGACTTTAGTGAGGTCAACCTCAGCATTATGGAACAGAGTGTATGAACTGAAAACTTTATTCTGATCAAACAATATAACCTAACATAAAGTACCACAATCACAAACTCCCACTAAATCATGATATCCTCAAATAATATCACACCCATATGAGCAGTATGCTCATGAAAGACCTTAGGTGGTAATCATTTAGTAAGAGGATCAGTTATCATGGAGTTTGTCCCAATGTGCTCTATGGATATCTGTCCACTATGAACCCTTTCTTTCACAACCAGGAACTTAATGTCAATATGTTTTGACTTAGTTGAGCTCCTGCAGATTTATTGTCACAATATAGCCTTACTGGTCGTTCAACATTTTCCAGAATGTGCAGTCTCGTGACAAAATTTCGCAGCCATATTCCCTGATTGGATGTCTCATAACAAGCTACAAATTCTGTTACTATAGTGGAGGAAGCTACAAGTGTCTGTTTAACACTTTTTCATGATATAGCTCCTCCTGCTAACATATAAATGTAGCCTGATGTAGACTTTCTGCTACCTTGACATCCAGCAAAATCAGAATCAGAGTACCCAATGACCTCTAACTGTTCTGATTTTCTGTATGTGAGCATATAATCTTTTGTTTTCTGAAGATACCTCATAACCCTTTTGACTGCTATCCAGTGATCCATACCAGAGTTGCTTAAGTATCTACCTAACATCCCAACAATGTACGCAATATCCGGACGCGTACACACCTGAGCATACATTAAACTTCCTACAGCCGAAGCATAAGGAATCTTCTGTATTTCTTGAATTTTAAGGTTTCCTTTAGGGCACTGATTGAGACTAAACTTGTCTCCTTTAGCCACAGGGGTGTCTCCTGGTCTGCAGTCTTGCATGCCAAATATTTTAAGTACTTTATCGATATAGCTCTTTTGTGATAATCCAAGAATACCCCGAGAGCGATCTCGATGTATCTGGATTCCTAATATAAAAGAGGCGTCCCCAAGATCTTTCATCTCAAAATTCTTTGATAGAAATCTCTTGGTTTCGTGCAACATGCCTATATCATTAGTGGTAAGCAATATGTCATCGACATACAGAACCAGAAAAATATACTTACTCCCACTGAACTTATGATATACACAGACATCAACAATGTTCATCTCAAAACCGAACGAGATAATTATTTGTTGAAACTTGTAATACCATTGTCGAGGAACTTGCTTGAGTCTATAGATGGATTTTCTTAATTTGTGAACTATATTTTTTAGGTCTCATGTCACAAAGTTTTCTGGTTACACCATATAAATCATCTCATCAATGTTGCCATTGAGAAATGCAGTCTTAACATCCATCTGATGTAACTCAAGATCATAATGAGCAACAAGTGTCATGATTATTCTAAAAGAGTCTTTCGATGAAACTGGAGAGGAAGTCTCTGTATAATCAATGCCTTACTTTTGAGTAAAGCCTTTAGCTACAAGACGTGCCTTATACCTCTTCACATTACCGTTTGCATCCCGTTTGGTTTTAAAAATCCATTTACAACCAATTGGTTTTGCACCTTCTGGTAATGGGATAAGTTCCCAAACTTTATTATCTTGCATAGACTTGTACTCTTCATTCATGGCATCAATTCACTGTTGAGAATTAAAACTTTTCATGGCATGAAGGAAGTTGATTGGATCATCTTCCAACATTCCATTATTTTTCTCATGTTCTTGGAGAAATACAATATAATCATCCAGAATAACATTTCTCCTTTCTCTCGTGAATCTCCTTAATAGCACTGGTTCTTAAGATTGTTGAGTTTGTTCTTCTGGAACATGGAGTTGTTCAACATTGTCATCTTGAGGTTCCGGATTTACTTCTTGAGCAACAACATGTATAGGAACCTGAATATTATCAAAAGTAATTGTATGGATTGGATCTGAAGCCAATTCCTCCTCAAAAGCAATGTCTCTAACCTTATTTCTCCCCCAAACTCAACATCCTCAAAGAATGTTGATGTCCTCGTCTCAAAGATATTCCTGAGTGTGGGATCATAAAACTTATAGCCCCTAGAGCGTTCAGAATACTCAATAAAGTAGCTGCTAACTATTTTGGAGTACAATTTCTTTACATTTGGTCTATAAGGCCTTGCCTCATCTGGACATCCCCAAATATGTAAGTGCTTTAAACTGGGCTTTCGACCAGTCAAAAACTCATAAGGTGTTTTAGCAACTGCTTTACTTGGTATTCTGTTCAGAATATAAGCCGTTGTCTTTAGTGCTTCTCCCCAGAGTGACTCTGGTAAAAAAGAATGAGCAATCATACTTCTTACCATATC